CCCAGACATTACTGAATGTGGTAAGTTTGCATGTATCTGTAACAAAATGCAAAAGTTTTACTACTGAAACATACTTTCAATATGAGTATTTCAGAAAGAGGATATAATTATTTGAACTTTTATAATAGTAGAACTTTATTGTGAAGTGAAATATCTTTGGCTCTCCAGTGGTTTCTGTACTTTTTGTACTTCCTGAAATTCTGGTCTTTGAGGAATGACTATGAATAGGTTAGGAATAAATTGTCAGTAAAGTTCATTTCAGTCCATTCCAAACACTGTCCTGTGACACCAGTGTTTAATAAAACCCTGCACTATATTATCTGCTAATAAGAAACAAAAAACAAAACCCCAGTACTTGCTTCCTTTTTCTTTTATTGATGCTATTTAAAATTACAATGACTGGTGAAAGAGATACTTACAAAAATGCTGACATTCTTAAAAAGTTCATAGGCAGATAAAATTAATTTCCAACATAAATATAAAATAACTTTAATGTGCCATTTGGGGGAGGGGCTATCTTTATGGGATGATACCTGTAATGACAGTTAAGGCTGATTTTTCATTTTTCAAATTAACATTATTAGTGATCATTTTGTCCTTTTTTATCTATCTTTCACATTTTTTTGATTTGTGACACATGTTAGGGTAACCTTAGCTAATGGTTTACTATAAGTCTAGCAAACTATGTATGTGGCTGAACATCCTTGACTAAAGAATAGATGACATTCTCTTCTTGACGGCATGGATTGCTGTCTTCATTGGACACTTTTGGTTCTGTGTTGGAAACAACGGTATCTGTTTATCAAGAAACTTTTTTCTGTCTTGATGCTTGTTTAATTGTCTAGGTAACGAAATCCCAGAAACTTCATTTGGTCATTTGGTCATCACACTAGGATGACCAGAACAGATTGGAAATTATTTTTCTTTCCATTTGTAAAACATGTCATGATCACTACATATTTATAGATATAGATATAAATGCGTGTGCGCATGTGTTTGGGTACCTTTTTTCATCCAGTGGTTTTTAACAGTGGCATACAGGACATCGTCTGGATCAGTGGAAGTGTCTCCATCTAACAACAAATATAAGATAAAAACCAAACACTAAAATACTCTTTGTCACATGCTGTTATTTATTTAAGTATTTAATTCATTTAGGCATGAAGTATAAAGGACTACTAAAACTTTACTTTTCTTTTTCCTTTGCTTTCTGACCACGGCATATACCGCAGTGGTGTTCTTGTCTTGCTGGCCTTGAAAAAAAATGGGTGTCATGTCAGAAGTTTGCATTACAGTGTTACATGCTAACACTGGGAAGGTAGGTAGACAATAAATTTAGAGACAGACAGTATTTGGATGACTATTTTTAAGCAAATAATCATGTTGGAGTTTTAATGACCCTAACTATTTCCAGGTGGCTAATCTGTAATGCCTCCAGTCATTAAACTATGACTCAAACACATTTGTCTTTGTTAAATTGCCAAATGATTTTGATATAGAAATTGTTTAAATCCTTCTGTTCACAATCTCAGTATTTGTTAATTGCATGTTTTTTTTGTTTTTTTTTTCCATTGCGCTGTAAGTAGATATGTATTCCCTGTGTGGGGGACACTTGACAAATAAGTGTAACAACTTTGGCGTCAAATGATAAAAATGGCATCAGTTGAATATAAGTTTCTGCACTTGATAAATTATGAGGATTTCAAAATGCTGAAAATATATGAATCAAAAGTGATACATTTTGAAACATACCTCTGTTCTTTGAAGGGCCTGTGACTCTGTAAATGTGCATAGCATGAGGATCAATTTTGTATGGCTTTATTATACTAGTTACTATAGAAGGAATTTGGCTGATTCTGAATGAGTCATGTGGGAACTTTGATCAGATTTGGCTGACGTTACACAGATTTGACTGTTGGTGATTTAACGTTTTGTATGCTTGGAACGTCAGATTGAATGTCCTAACTTGAATTACTTATTTATTTTTTATTTTCCTCCTCTGATAAGACTACCTTAAATTCATCTTTCTTATTTACACTCATCTCTTTCTACAGGTTTGCAAGTGCAAGGAGACCGTTCATAGGGTACTATGGAATTGTAGGCTTGCAAAGCTGCTGAAAAAAGAGAAAATATGGCATTGGCCTAACAAAATGTTGTCATTGATAATAAAATAACACTAAACTCAAATTAAATTATATATGATTCTAACATTGGCCTTTTGTCTTGATCCTACCCCTATATGACAAAGTGGTTTGGGCATTTCTGAAGTTCAAATTTTGTGTTTTTCACATGGAGATGCATTAGCACTGAACAAGGATGCAGTTTCTCACCGGTGTTGTCTTCCTCTGAGTGTGAAACCTGTACTGATGAAAAACAGGCTGATACTGAAAGAAAGAGCAGAGGAGTGTTAAGAAATACGATAGGCCAAGGTCAATGTAAAGTCAGCAGCTAATACATTAGAAGAAATAGCAATCCTGCTAATCTTGTTTTGATCTGTTACAGTCAGGCAAAGATTTGCTTATATTTGAAATAGTATGCTAATAATAGCATGCTAATAAAGTTTGTGAGACAAAATTTCTATACCTTTGTGCCTCTTATGAAGAAGTAGGCCCACCAGCAGCAGCAACATAGCCGCCAATAAAGCACAGATAACGGTCCACAGCAGAATGTCTTTTTTAGGGACATGACTGTGTGAAAGATCAGTCTCTTTGTGAGGCACTGGAAAGGTTGCATTGAAGATATTAAAGCAAAAGAAAAAGACAAATTAAAACAAACAAAACAGGGATATATATGATATATATATATATGATTTAAATCACCTTTGCTTTGTTTTATAACAGCTAACCAGCTCTCTGGTGATTCTCCAGCTCCTGATATGCTGCACTTGTAGAGTCCTTCATCAGACTTGGAGATATTTTTGATGGTCATGCTGCTTTGATACCAGGTCCCGAGAGAAACACCATCTTTGTAGAAGTCAGTTATGTGTTCTGACTGAGTTTGCTTGTTTGTGCAATTAAGGGTCACATCATTTCCCTCCATCACGGGGATGGTTGGACTTTCCAAGATTACAAAACCAGCTGGGAAGTGAAAATATGTTTTAACCAGTGTTGTTAGTGTTAATCTCATTAAAATGATGTTAATGCCATAACCGCATTAATGCAGCAAATCTCTAATAGTGAGTTAATTCTCACTATTAGAGATTAATTCTGACAGCACTCATTTTATCTGTTAATTTTTTTACATCTGACTATGGAAAATTACATCTTTATGAAAAGTGCTAAAACAACTAAAGTAGGTCCAGCCTTGTATTTTAGACTATGCTGGTTAATAGGTTTTATTCTGTACCTCTTAGTACAGTATTATTAGTGCATTGTTGAGTATAAATAATGTGCTTCATATTCATCTTGATATTTTAAACAAAGGTTGCCATATACTGTCAGTGGAAATTAGCAAGGGTAGTAACATATAAATATAAATAAAGCATATAGTCACCCAACATACCAGTGACAGAAATGTTCACAACCTCACTTCGTTCTCCCTTTTCATTTTCACACCAGTATTCTCCACTGTGTCTTTTAAAGATGGGATAAATTGTGCAGGGTGATGCTGATATGTTTAATGGGAGGGAAGAGTTTGTTATTTTATGGGATTTCCACTTCACGCTCCATTCACTGATGCCATTATCTTCCTCACAAAGTACAGAGACATTATCGTATTCAAAGAACTGACGCCTGTCTGGAACAATGCGAGCAAAAACTGCACCTGAGACAGAGATATGAAGAAGGAACGCAATCAAATGAAAATCTGTTCTTAAAACAAGAAGAAAAATCTTTCAAAATGTGTTGATATTAAAAAAAAATAAAAATAAAAGTGTACATTTTGTTAGATTGTGAAGCAGAGACATTACTTTCTAGGCAGGATCTGCTTGTTTTAAAAAATCCAGACCATTAAAGACTACAGTTTCAGAGCTTCAAACAGTTTTGAAGATAGTTGAAATCCAAAATTTAGGTTTATATCAGGAAGAAACTGCTTCTTACTCACCAGCAAAGTTACTGTGGTCAGCTTGTACGGCCATCATCACTAAAATAGCAGTCACTGAAGAGACAAATGGAATTTTGTGCATCAGACATACGTGATTGCTATTGAATGATTAATTGGTAGAATCAGTACTTACAAAGTCGGATGCTGAGAGTTGTAATCTCCATGATGTGTTACTGTTGACTGTGAGAACATTAGACTGAAATACAACAAAGGGAGAATGTAGGTTGGGACTTCCTCTTCCTGTTTACTGTATTGCTGATGTTGCTTTTGTAACTTGTAAGTATTGTAAAGATGTGACACATTCTATGGCTACTTGCTACGTTTTTGTTGAGTAAAATTATTTTATTAATTAAGTAATTATTTATTTATTGTTATTTTTGTTTGTTTGTTTGTTTTTAGAGTTCCAGCTCAAGCATTTCAAAACAAAGATACTTGGACTAATGGGGGGCAATTGATTACACAGCGGACTGAACCCAAGATAAAAACTATCCAGAACTATTCTTCATTCCTCCACATTATAACATTCAGTAATGTCTGTTTTCCTCTCCCTTCTCCTTTTTGTTAGTTCCACTCTGCCCTCTGTTGTTAGTCAGCCATTTTACACTCCTCAGTACATATATCATTGCTCACCTTTACTGATCAAATGAACATTGAACCTTTTAAAGTAAAAGGGGTGTAACGATAGTCTTATAAGGTGGAATTTATTTTCTCTATCATGCCACAGAGTTTGTGATAAGAGCACCAAGGTCAACTTAAATCTTCAAGCACTAAGCTTATCTAAGATTAGACATCACAAATATGGAAGTAAAAACAATTTTACTGGAGGACTTTGGCCTTAAATTTAACTGAGTCTGAAGTAAGCAGAGGTTGGCTTACTTGTTCATGTAACCTTTCGTCGGTAAGTCTTTAGAAAATGTAGATTTACTTTAATTTAATATTTATTTTAATAATAATTTAAATTAATTTTTTTGTGAAATAAAATCAGGGCTGTTATCACTAGTCAGTAAATTCTTTTGATTATACCTATATTATATTTTGTTTGGAATTATTACAGTAAAATTAATTTGTAGCTGAATATATCACACATTTTCTGATTATATTATATTTTTGTGTACTTTACTGAGGTATTTATAATTAGAGCTATTTGTATTTATTTGAGCTATTTTGTTATATTTTGTAACCTTGTAATATATTGCATTATTCAATTTATTTTAGTTAGTTACTGCTTTACAGTCTGTGGCCACATTACTTTGTCTGTGATTAATCAAGTATTTAGATTCTGCTTGAATTGGGTATATTTTCAGTATTTTCTCTATACTGTCATAACATTCATGTTTTACTTTCACCAGTTTCTGAATCTGACTTAAACTGGGGATAAAAGTGAGTATCTTTGTTAGTTTTTGAAAAAAAAAACTTGTTAACTAAAACTTTTGTTTAATTTAGAAATTCAGCAATTTTGATTTCTTAATAAGGTTTCCAGAATAATGTTTACATATTTATAAATATTGTCTTTGTGCAATTTCTCTGGCTTTCACTCTAATGTTTCTGATGTTGTCACTTTGTTTATTTCATTTTGTTTTATTACAGTTTTTTCTATCTATCTATCTATCTATCTATCTATCTATCTATCTATCTATCTATCTATCTATCTATCTATCTATCTATCTATCTATCTATCTATC